AAAATGATCCTGGCTAGAGAGAGCAGGACAAGAGTCCTCCTAAAAAATGGAGGTGTCTGGCCTCTGCATGGGCATTATAGACTTTGGACTATCCTGTAGACAAATAGTCTACCTTGCATGATATCTGCTTGCTTTCAAGTTTATAGCTCCAGTGGCTCTAGGTGCTCTATACTTGCTTCAAATCTATTGCCAATAACAATAATGGGTGTGTCTGCATCCAAAACACTCCCTCCAAAGGAATATCCTTTTCTCCATTCCATTTACATACATACCATTAATTTGCAGTGCTGCTTTCCAAGCATTTTGTCCCCAACTTCTTGTTTAAGATGGTCTAATTCTGAGAGAACCTGTGTCAAACGAGTTTTGATTTCTTCGTATCTTGTTTCAGCAAAGCCAAGTTCTGTGTACCACTTCTGAGCCTGATGAGAAGAATAAAAAAAAGCAAAATTACTGAGTATAATTAGTCTAGCAGCGGTATCATTTCTCAATACCAGCTTACAACCATGGACTTGATTCTGATCTCCACATCACAAGTTTTAAATTGTTGTAAATTGATTCAAGTTAATGGAATTACACAATACACTATAATCTTATTATAAGAAATGAGTAAGACTCTTACAGTAAGTCCTATAGAAACACATCTAACTAGAGCTATGCAGAAAAACAGATCAATTTTTAAATTGATTTCTAAATTTGAAGGTACCTTGAGTATTCTGAATAAAGCTAAAAAAAGCAGGGGTGAATGCACTCACAATTTCAGAGATTACATCTTTGAAAGCCCTCAGAGCAAATGGGAAGTAAGATTTTATCAGCTAGGGGAAAAAAAAATCTTCCTGAGAAATGTCAAAAATGAAAAACGCAAAGGAGGAGAAAAACCCCTCCATATGTTCACCTTTATGTTTCTTCTAGGATGCATTTTCTCCACTTATACACACCAACTGTAGTTTTGAAAAACAAACAAACAAACAAACAAACAAAAAAACCAAAAACCCCACAACACTCAGTAGATCAGCCGGTTGCCTGACAGCAAGCTCCTTCCCTCATATGAGAGATCATTGCTTCTCCCTTCTGAAAGCAAAGACTTCACGTTCTTTTAAGTAAACTGAGGAAGGTGTTGTAACACACAACTTCCTTGTAACACATAAAAGGATTAGAAGGACCCAAGTTAATCAGATTTTAAAAAATAAATAAAAATCAAATGATCTCTTCATGTTCATGTTCCAAGGTTAGAAGTCCTTACCTAACCTTCCATCACTCATCCAAATCCACCCCTTCATTCCAGTTGCCTCACCTGAAATCTGGGAAGTCTTATAAAGCAGCTGTCAAAGGACAACCATTATGTATACCCACCATGTATAATCAATCTTACTGCTCTTTTACATGCTCAACACAATTGTTACTGCCAGTGGTTTTTCCAGCATCTGAGCGATGCCTGTTATTGCCTGAAACAGCCCCATAAATACACACTTGCCATAAAAGCAATACATTTCTGCTTAGATAAGCATGCACTGGAGATTGTTCAATAAAAAACAGGAATGTGAAAGCTAATGCATTCGGAAAGGCACAACACTGAAAGCTTCTCTGTTTGGTATTAAAACTGCAGATTTACTTTACACAGGCACAGAACTGCCCATCCAAACAAGTCTTCACGTAGGTGGTGTTGGACTTTGTGTTTACTACACAGATGTCGAGAGAAGGGGCAGTGTGCATGCTTTGCACCATCACTGGATATAGCGAGACCCCTTGACAGTGTCAGATTTTACATCATTTTGCCTCTCATTCAAAAACTGCTTTGAATTCAGGTTTGCTGTAGTCCTCAGTGCTTCTACTGCCTTCTACTCCTCCGTATTCCTAGTGAGGGGGAGGGAAGCAGCCTGCCCAGAGATGGCCACAGCAGATAGTTTGTTCTGTGTGTCTTTATTAAGCACTCAGCTTCCGTCAAAGCGTGCTGGAGGAATGCAGCTTCACTTGAAGTTCTGGCCAACCACAAATAACTGTGCTTATCATCACTCAACTGAAAGATCAAAGAGGTACGTTTTGGTTCTGCAGATCAGAGACTTCCCTGTTTTGTAAAAGTGTTAAATTCTGGCAGAAAGAAGAACAGCCATGTAAGAAAACAAGAAAGAAAACAAATTTGCTCCTCAGAATTACGTCAGAGTAGGAGGTTACCTCTTTTTTTGATTTTTCTAATTCCTTTTGCTGTATTTTTAGTTCCTCTTTTGCCTTTTCGACTTGCTCTTTCATCACACTGTAGCTTTCAAACATGCTGCCCTGGATACACAACAGAAAGATGTGACTCCTTTGATCCATACGAAATGGCACACAGGTTTTTACAGAACAATATATGGTTTCCTTCTATCTGAATTACTAAAAACATTTGCATAAAGTCAAGGTATTAGAGATAAATCTTTCCCTGTTGATTATTCTCAACTGAAGTAATAATTCTGCTTTTACAAGAACATACTAATCTCCAAAGAAATTCACTGCGCTGTAAGATTCATGACTACAGAGGAAAAACATGGATGAGAAATCCACTATAAGTAAAGATCCTGTCTTTGGGCATATGTTTCATAAAAAATCAAAAAAGTAAAAAAACATAGACACTGTCAGAATAAAAGTCAGTAAGTGAACATGTGCATACTTTTAAATAAGACATTCACAACCCTGAATACTTCACCATTGTAACAGAAGTTTGTGGAAATTAATTTGCTCTACTGGAAGCTTTTACTTTTGCAAGAAGATAAATAATTTTAAAAATGCCTGAACAATGCACTCTTTTAAGTATTATTTTTAACTTTGTAGCTTGCTGTATCACTTTAAAATTCTCTAATACAATATTCAGAAAAAAACTCTCTGGTACTTTGCCTTCTATTTCGAAGTTAACTTTAGTACCTCAGATCTCCAGCACATGGGAGGTTACAGCATTTTCTATATTACACAGTTAATTTAGCTTTGTCCTCCAAAAGACATTTATATCTCCCCCTTTCTTCAGAAGATCCTGCTTGATAACGTTCCTCACTGTTACTATTTACCTCTTTTCCAGGGAAATAGTTTGAGGGGTCTATAACCAGAACTCCTTCTTCTTCAGTCTGAGTTACATTACATGCTGTTGCAACTTTCTTTGGCTTAAGACCACGTTGTTGACTTTCTTCTTTTAGTTTTACTATCTTTTCCTTTGTTCCCAAACTTTTATCTTTTCTCAGCTCTTCATAGGTGAAACCCAAAGAAGACACTAATTCTTTTAATTTGCTATTTTCTAAAATAAAGTTTGCATTTGCTTTCTGAAACTCATCAAGCTGTTCTGAAGTTTCTTTTTTGATTCTGTCTATTTCTCTTTTCAGTACACGTTTTTCCTCCTGCAAATCAGAAATAGTTTGATAACAGCTGGTTTTGCACTCTTGAAGATCTGAAACCAAGGTCCTGTTCTTGTCTTGTTCATGCTTTACCTCTGCCAAACATCCCAATAAAGTTTCTTTTTCACCTTCTAAAAGACATATTCTTCGTAAATTTCCCTCTCTCTCTTGTATTAATTCATTATATTTTGCTACATAGTTCTCCTTGTCTTGTAATAATTTAGCTATTTCTTTGAAGCATCTGCTTCTTTTTTCTTTCAGGTCAGAAAGCAGCTGGAAATACCTCATTTTCCTTCCATCCAGGAGCAAAACACTCCTGGGAAGTTTATTTGATGCAATTGTCAATGAGTCTTTTTCAGAATTCCTATTTTTCTCTTCAACACATGAGAGGTTCTTAGAGCAGGTTTCAACAAAAAATGTTCCTGGGCTCATGGTGTTTTCTTCTGATAAGTCATTATAACATCCACCAGCAACTTCTTTCTCATTAAGTAAGTTTTGGAATGAAACAATGTTAGCATCATCTACCGCCACAATGTATTGAAAATACGCATCCATCTCTTCTTCCAGCGCACACATCATCTGAGCATATCTCTCATTCTCCTGTTGTAATAGACAGACTTTTTTTGAGTAATTTTCATTCTCTTGCATCAGTAGAAATATCCTCTGAGAACACACAGCCACCACTTTTTCCAGTGCATATATTTTCACATTATGTTCATTACCGGCTTCCAGCGGTGACAGATGACAGAAACACTCATAAAAATTGCTCCCTGATAGGAACAGTTTGCTTAAGCACACAGCCCTCTCCTGCATAGGAGACAATGTGTTTAGCAGATCTCTCTCTTCCTCTGACCAAAAAAATTTCTGAGAATATGTATATTGCATGTTTTCAGCAGCTATTTTTTGACATGAGGGATTCTTCTCGTTTGGTTCACATAGTTTCAGGGTCTGGTCTTTCTTTTCTTTCAGGCCAACATTGCTGGAAGGGTTTGTTTGGTGAGTTGGTTTCTGAGGTTGCTCTCCTTTCTCCTCCATTTTGATTATGTCTTCTCCATTATATAACCTATTCACATCAGAGATACAGATTTCTGAAAGGTTTCCTTGTTTCTCTATTAGTTCAGGACTCCGTTCAAAATGCTTCTTTAAGTCTTTAAAATCAACAGATAAATTTTGGACATCCTGTGGGCTACCTAGGCTGTCTTTTGCTTCTATTCCTTGCTTCCCAGGTCTGATCAATTCAGTTTTATTTAAAACTCTAGAACTTTCCTCAGGAGCACAGGTCACCTGTTGTGGTTGGGCTTTCTCATTCCGTATTTCTTCTCCTTTAGCTGTCCCTCTAAAGATTTTTTGGTGATACTTTCCATCATCAACAACTTTATCCAGACATTTATTTTCACTTATGCTTTTTGGCAGAATTTGCTTGTTTTCCCAACATTTTTCCATGTTGCATTTTTCTAGACGTGAAGTGAAAATTTCAGTCACAGTGCAAGGCATCTTTCCATGAAGAAGTGCAGCAGCTTTGTCAGAAAATCCTTCTTCTGCAACAAGGCAGAGGCCATCAGAGCAAAGAGTGGTATTTGCCTCACAGAAACCCAAACTCCTCACTTTCTTCACAGTGGTGACAGCTGATATATGGCAGCTTTCAGGTTTTAACAAGGTAAGTTGGGGCTTCTTCCTCATCAAAGCTTCAACCACAGAAACAGGGAACGTCTTTTCTGGTAGATTTATAGCTTGCTCCTTCAAGAGAGAAAAGTTTTCTTCATCTTTGGTTTCCTTATTTGTCTCATCATTAGTTAACTTCTCAGAGCAAGAGGGAAGCAGTCTTGCTGCACAATACCTTGGGGTACATCTGAACAAAGTTAAACTATCTTCTAGAGTACCTGCCCTCTTTGTTCCAAGGGTGACCTGGTAATAGCAAAAGAGAAATGTTTCAAACTGAAAAATATAAGATAAGATATATCATTATATGTTGCTAATCGTAATTTATTTTTCACTTCAACCATAAAATACTTGATTACAGACAGATGAGAAAAAATATTTCCATATAAAGAGTTTTCAAATTACTTAAAATTTGCAATGAGAGTAATGATACAAATAAGGTACAAATAAGTCAATCATTTTCTTAGTGCACCTGTATTCATCTTGAATAACATCTTTAGTAGCTATGATATAAAGCTACTTTTATATTCATCTTTAAATACACCAACTCTTCATTTTATCTCAAAATTCACAGACTTACTGTGCACAAAGATAGCAAGAATAGCGGTAACTTTTCTTCTCACCTGCTCAATCTCAGCTAGACCAGTAACTTTTGCAAAGGCACTGGAATTGTGTTCCAAAACTAGTAGAAGTTCTTCTGGTAGCTCCTCCATCTGCTTTAGCCCATCACAGCTACATCCTGGTGTTTCTGTTATGGGAAAGCACTGGACAGGTGTAAGGCCACTCCCAGATAGTTACATGAAAAACAAACCCCAAAACATCTGACCAGATGTTTTGAACAGAACAGTATTTTAGTGAGAGTATGCTCAAAACTACCTTCTCTACCAGAAGCATACATCACCAATGATGTAGAGATAAGCACGACGTTAAACAAGAAAACAAACTTCACAAGAAAACATAAATATTAAGCTCTAAAATAAGGTATATTTAGGGTCCCCCCAGTTCTCCAAGCATTTAAAAATGGAAAATACATCTCATTACAGTGGGTAGATGAAAACTCATGGGTTAAAACTTACGGGTTAAAATTATCCAGTGCAGGTCTGCATTTGCATGCACTGAAAGTTGCTATAAAATGTCCATTAATTTATGTTGGAAGAATTTACCTGATACAATTTGCCAAGATCAGAGCTTTTATGTTGTTTGGTCTAAAAAGCAAATCTGACTGATGCACAGCATTCCCAAACACTATACTTCAGCCAGGACATGGGATGTATCCCCTAATTCCTCATCTCTGCAGCTTCTTGAAAGTTCTAGGATTTCTTGAGAAAGCTCGTATCTAAATGCTAGTATCATACTGGCAAATAGTTATTGTTTCACCTTCCCAAGATACAGTTTCCAGATTAGGAGGTTTTTAGAAGGTCTTATACCTTCTAAGTCATGCACACCACATGAAGGAAATCATCCTCACTTTTATTGCACAGAAATTAAAGCAAAAATTCCAGTTTGTTTTCATACCAGACTCTTTAGCATGTAGCAGCACAACTGGAGTTTGAGTAGCTCTGCTTCTGAGTGAATTCAAGACTGCTCCCCATTTCAGATTTTGAGTGTCATCCTGGATTAGATCTCCATTCTTAATGGGAAAAGGAGGAGGAAAAGAAAAAAAAAAAAACATCATAAATATACCGTGTTTCTGATATGAAAAACAGGCACACAATTTTCCTTTGCTATTTTACATTTAAAAGACCCATCATTTCATTATAATTACTATTATTTCAAGCAATTTTCTCATTCCAACATTTTCTAGTGAACGTCGTGGTTTTAAACTTCCCCCTAATGTTTCCTTTATACTTTACAAAGAGTTAAGGAAGAAAATCTGAGTAATAAGCATGTAATACGTCAGATCACAGATGGAACACTATCAGAACAGAGACTAAGGATATGATCATGAACAAAGAGAAAAGAAAGTCCAATCAAGTAGGGAATGAGATTGTAGCTGGGCACTGAACTATTAAAGACAACTGTTCCTAGGTTGGAAGAACTCAAAGTAGAATAATCGTTCCGAATAAAATATTCTTTCCCATTGATAATTTAATTGTAAATTTCATATTCTGTTCTTGCTATTTATCTTGTCTCCCTGATTGAACTTGGAAATTGTGACAATTTCTGGTGCAAAGCAGATACCCTTATTGCTTGATATACAGCAGGTCACATTTCACATGCACCGTGCTCATTTTTAGTGAACAGAAGACTCAGGTTTGATTTTCTCAACAAAGCACATAATCGAGGTGGTAACCAAAACAGCTACAGCACAGAGAACAAGTCAACACAGTCACTTTTCTCTTCCTGCACTGCTCTGCATCAAATGCCAGCAGAAAACAAACTTGGTTCCTTTGGGCTGAGCTGCAGCTATAAAATTACATATGGACGGGAAAGGCAATGACTTCAAAGTCTTCAGTCTATAGTGAGTCAGAAGAAGCCACTTGATTTTCCACAGGACCACCAGTGAGAATAATTTTGATTTCAACCCAAGTCAGCTGCCACATTATAGTGCCCTATTATGAGATCCTGACTGGGCGGCACGACTTAAGTGGAAACCACAACACTTCCAAGATTTCTTCCTTCGTTTTCTCAGTAATATTGAAGCTAATGTTAATTCCTTGAAACACATTCATTCCTTTCCTGCAAGTATGCCTTTATTTCTTCCCAGATATCTTTTCTTTATTGGTATGTGGGTTCTGTCAAAAGTTACACAAAATTATGTAAAAGATGCAATGCTTGGATGCCAGGAACACCATACAGTGAAATCAAGACCTCAGCTGTCATGTGAAAGCTGTAGAAAGGTGCATCACTTGGTGTTTCATACTTTTCCTTCACCAACACCTTCAACAAGCCTCTAATGTTCACATCTAGAAACTGCCTGATAAATCAAGACACAGCCACGTGGTACCAGCTGCTTTTTCGTGCATTTTTCATTCAAGCATAGGCTGCAATTGGAATATTGCAGACAGGATCCTGATACTAATATTGGAAATAAAAATTTCTGACAAGATTGATGTGACTACACCCCTCCATGAGATTCAGTTCCCCTCTATAGTACCAGAGCAAAACACCTAATTGGATCCAATATTATTGCATGAAGATGCAATAACGGCCAAGGCTAGTTTTCAAGAATAACTGATGTGCTTGGCATTCAAATGACATGGTGTTTACTGAGGAATTTCATACCATGTGTATTCCACAGGGGTCTGATAAACCTGTCTTCACAAACTAACTTTTTCCTGGCTGTGAAATAAGCAAATGATCCCATTCACTCTTTCACTGAAAAATGATATGCAAGCAGCTTTCCAGAAAAGTAGCAGCATGAAAATCCTTCTTGTACTGCACACAATTTCTTTTTTTTTTTATAGCTGTTCATGGAGTATGATGAGCTTAAATAGGATTTTTCTTGTAACTATTTTGGCTTGAATACTACAAGACCAATGTAATGAGATTAGGAAATTCTACTTTAATAGGTGGTAGTAAAACACAAGATGAGGGAAAAAAGCCCTCTTCATTTTTATAATACAACACCAGAGGTCTCCCTCCTCCTTTTATCATAGATATCAAAATTATTTTCCTGCTATCTCAAGCCATTTTCTACTAGAAAAATCCAAGTGAACTAGTAGCAGTACAAAAAGAGGAGGAAAATACAACCAGAAATGCAGAAGACATAAGATTTGATGCTGCTGACGCTACATACAGCATTTAAGGAACGCAACCTACTGTGCAGCAGAACAAAGTAAACTGGCTTAACACGTATTATGGCCTGTTCATTTATACCAAAGACCGGGTAATTGAGACTCAGTAACTTTCTACAACAACACAGCTGTAAATTAATACTCAGAAAAGAAATGGTTATAAAACTTTGTGTAGAGGAAAAATATAACCCTTTATTAGGGTACAGCATAGAATGAAAGATATTTGGTCCTGTTTCTTGAAGACTTTCTGGATTAGTCTCAGGCAATTAGTCAGTTGATATATCTTGCTTTACCACCTTCAAATAACTCAACATTTACTTTCTCCCTATCTCAGTTTTCTCAAACTGATAGTAATTCTCCACTACTTATTCCCTGGCTCTGAAAGCTCTGAGCCCTCCCGATTTCAGTTGGGCAGTCCCCTTGCAGTGCACTTGGTTGTTGTACCTGTGTACAACTCAGTGCAGGTCCCTCTAAAAATATCTTAAATATTTTCAAACCTTATTCTTCATTCCCAAAAGAAAGTGAACTCCCTAGTTAAAGTAATTGTAGCAATGGTTCAGGCTAAGTATAAAAATAAGCAACAGCAGTCAGTCCTCTGCCACCTCAGGGCAGCTATGGAGACACATGCAGTGAGGCACAGCTCTCCACAAAGGTCACCCACGTGCTGCCAGGTACTGCAGGATGATCTTACCACTCTTTCTCTCTCACACAAAGACAACCTCCTGGAGCTCGCTTCTTTGGGACTATAAAGCCACTAATGGTACAAAATCACTATGTCTGCAAAGGTGCGTTCAACTACCAAGTTAAAAACTTTGCCTTTATTTCTTCTAGGCTTTTACGGACAAAAGATCCTCTCTACCTTCTCCCAGTTCTGGAAATACTCACAGTGCGATTGTCCTCCCATACTAAAGGGTTTTTGTTCATGCCCATTACCTCTCGGTTAAGTGCAGTTAAAATCAGGAGAGTTTTTGGGATATCAGGTCACAATCTGAATGGGGTAGCTGAGTGCAATGTTTAGCTGATTTCACTTTATTTAACAAATCCTCAAAATAAAAATACCCTCCACCTCAGTGCATAAAAAAATCAAACTTTGTCTGAATCCTCTCTGTGAAAATAATTGTTCTTTGTCAGCAAAATTAATTGGCAGAAGCTGAATGCCATATTACAGCATATGCAGAGCTTTCCCACACAATGCTGGAGTGAAGTGCTTGAAGCAAACGAGTCCTATTCAGTGTATTCAGGGCATATCACAATGCTATGGAGCTGCAAACCACTGAATATCTCAACTCACTCCCAGTCATGAATACTGTATCCATCTTCCCTTGTTTACCATTATCCAGAAAATCTCATAGACAAGATTTATTGTCAGCTGTGCTTTTTTCTTCAGCGTTTGGGCATGAATAACACATGAAAACTCACCCGACCATATGTGTACTCCTCCACTGAATGGTGTCCACAAATCAGAGGTCTCAGAAGTTCTCCTGGGCTCTACTGCTAGTGCCAACCGAGACCTTTTGCCTTGGGCATGTCACTTAAAAACGTAAGGAAACAAGATCTGTGAAGTGCCCTCAATGTGCACCTAATAAAAGCACTGATGCAATGAAGCTCCAACTACTGATTCTAGTGTGTATGAATTGGACACTGTGAAGTACTAATGCATCAACAGAAATTAAGGGAAAAAAATGCAGGAAGGAAACAAGCCTCACACTTGCATCTCGATTGCACATCTAATGGCAAGTGTAATCCAGGGTGATATAAAGATAAAAGCTAACTATATTTTGCCTTATTTTTACTTACCAGGTCAACGCCACTATCTCCGTTCTCCAATCTTTTAAGTCGTGAGTCCTTTTCTTTCTTCTTTTTCAACTTCACCCTACCTTGATCTTTTAAAGCCCTATTTTCATCCAAAAGCTCTTCCATTTTTTCCTGTAGTTTGATTTCAGATAATTTCAGACTATAAACATGATGGCGAGATTCTTCCAATTTTCTTCTGAGAAAGTCTTCAGTGTCCTGAGAGCACTGGAGTTCAGTCAGCAGGTCTGCCTGTTCTCTTCTGTTGTCCTCCTCTTTTTGCCTTAAGAATTTCAGATTTTGCTGAAATGTCTCGAGGTGGTTTTTCATGTCATGCTCCACATTTTCAATGCAAGTTTTCAATTCCATTACCTCCAGATCAGGGTGTTTATAGCCCTGAGTCCCACTGAATGCTGATTCCATCTTCTGCTGCAGATACTGCACCATTCCCTCTTCTAACTTGGATGTCAAAAGAGCAATATGGGCACTAAGATCCAGGACTTGCTTTTCCAGCCTAGATACCTCACCCTGAAGGTAACATTCCCTTTCTCTCAGCACTGCTGTCTGTTGTGTCTGCCTTTGTTTGTAGTGCTCAAAATACTCTGACTGGCTTTTTATTTCATCTTCTTTTGTCTTCAGCTGCTCCTGAAACCAACGTAATTTTTCCTTTTGCTGCTTCTCTGACTTTTCTTGGTTTTCAACCTACAATGTCAGTGAGTTGTATAGTTAACATCTTAATACTAAATCTCTTCTTCCCTTATAATTTTTCTTAATTTTGCAATAATTCTGCCTTTGTTTTCTGAAAACTCAGGAATGACATAAGTAGACATTTTTAAAAGAAAGTAGAATCCTGCATTTAGAGCAAAACTAACATACTGTTTTGTCATTTCAGCCATCACTGAAACATGTCAGTAGGAAACAAACAAACAAAACACAAACTCACCCACATCTACTACTACATGAAATACAGGAAGTTTTTAAATGCTTCCTTTTGCATGTTTTATAGTACACATTAAATCAAAAGAAACCTTTGAAATGGAATTCATACAACCAGCTCTGAACTACACAGTAACATATCGTTAACACTGACAGTAGTGTAGCACTGAGGTGTAACAGGCAGAGAAGTTGTGGTTCTATTATAGAAAACAAGTGCACTTTTCAGAGACCAAGCTTTTGCCCTTTGCCCTTCACCATACCTGTCATCTGTCAGCTCCTTTTATGAACCCCCTGGAAAAGGAGAAAGGAACAGATGCCTTTTGAATCAGTTTGAGAAAGACTGTGGTATTTTCATTTGCACCAAAGTATGTTTGAACACAGAGACATACAGAGGTGAAAGATGTCAATGGAAGACTTAGGAGGCTTTCGTGATTCACATGCTGCCCTTGTTTTGAGCAGAGTAAAAGCCACCAGTATCATAGTGCCATTGTGGCAACTTTGAAGCAAGACTGAAGGCACAGAGACATTACTGTATTTCTTCAAGGACTTCCTTAGGTCAATCTTTTTGATCTCCAGTATTTTCCTGTCCAAAGGGTTTACCAGCAAGGAAAGGACAGGAGGAACACTAGGCTGAAATGTTATGCAAAGTCAGGTAGGTGTGAGTTAATAGTTTGGTTAACTGTTGATGGGAATATATGTATGTATGAGCTTCCTGGTCTTGAAAAATACATTTTGCTTTTAAATAAAAAAGCAAAGACTATTGTTCATACTTAGGAGTCGTACTGCATAGTACTAGTGTCCTGTCAGAGTATTCAACTTTGACTTAAAATGCTGAGACAATGAAAGTGTATCTTATGACAAGCAGAATCAAAAGACATTTTTGCATGGTAGACCAGGGTAGACCCTGAATAACTTTCATTCCTTCTCTATCTCCATGGATCCATCCAATGAGCTGTGCAAACTGGGTAAAAATGCCTGTTACATGTGTTATCAGCCAACAGCTGACCTTTCTGATACAAAACATTTACGTGAAGTACTAGCACTCGGGAGAACTGAAGGCTTTCCACTGCAGAGCTGACAATTTCACAACAGACATGGGGAGAGGGGATTGCGAGGGCATGAAATCAGCAGTGGGACGTTCTTGGCAATGAGGGAGTAAGTCAGCTTGCTCCAGTGAAGGTCACTCTGCAGAGGAGGGCTCGCACCAGCAGGGCTCTGCAGAGTGGTGGCCCACATGACAGTGCCTCACAGGAAAGAAGGCAAGGCCCAAGCCAATCTGGGAAAGCTGGAAGAGGACACAAAGCTAAGCAGGAAGCTTAAAGCGGATGCAACAGCAGGTGGGGCCCAGCTTGAAAATGCATGAGCAATTCAGAGTCAGATGACAAGCTGAGCAGCTGCATTCTATACAGAAAACAGGCTGTGTTAGCTGTGTTGGTAGGGAATCAAAAAAATGCTTTATTATGGGGCTAGAAAGATAAAGTCTGACCTAGGGAGAAGGAGTACGCTGAGTGGGTTCTGGGGAGAAAGAAGGCAATGGGAGCATATATCTCAAAGATCAAGGGCCTGAATGAGAGGAATAATGGCAGTGCTGTCAAAAACATTAGAGAAATAGAAAGTGGGGCAGAAAAGACCAAAAAGTTCTGATTCCTCTGGTTGTAGAAAAAGAGAAAGGCTGAGATGATTTATTGCTTAAAAACAGAGAGGTCACTGGAGATGAGATTGACTTATAAATTATTACCACAAAGAGAAGCTAAACTAGGTCATTTGAAACAATATCCTCCTCACCAAGTTGATCAGGTCCTCCCGAATGTCTCGCAGTTTCCCTTTAACACGCACATTTGCATTTTCAACCTGGTGCAACTTCACATTTAGTTGATCAATCGTCACAAGAAGTGTTTTGTGTGACAGCTCCAGCTCTTTCATCCTGTGATAATGAGAATGAAGATATTTGCTAAGTAAATCATAGAATCATTAAGGTTGGAAAAGACCTCTAAGATCATCGAGTCCAACCGTCAACCCAACACCACAATGCCCGCTAAACCATGTCCCTAAGTGCCGCATCTACACGTCTTTTAAATACTTCCAGGGATGGTAACTCAACCACTTCCCTGGGCAGCCTGTTCCAATGTTTAACCACTCTTTCAGTAAAGAAATTTTTCCTCATGTCCAAAATAAATACCACACAGTACAGTTCCGGATGGATAAGCAGTCATCAGCAGTGCATCAATTTATCTTTATTCTTCCATTTTTCTCCCAACAATAAAATAGTAACAAATTGTTGATCACTAATAACAAACACTTAATTCTGAACAAGTCTACTGGGATTTGCACATTATGCTGGAGACTCAAAACTGTTAAAGACAACATCTATGTTAATTCTCTCTGCTGGCTTAATATGAAAACCATAAGCAAACACATCTACAAGATTAATGTTCACTGAGGCTTGGCACGATATATGAAGTAACAACTTACCATAAAGACAACCACAACACTTTGGTCTCTACATGTATTTGATAATAGGATTTTGCTAGGTTCACGGTTAGCAAATTCAAATTTTATGATGACAGTAAATGAGTCCCATCAAATTAAGATTACAGGTAACCTACAAGTAACTATGTGTTTTACTGACTGAAGGGAAAACATCTTACTTGTAACATACCTCACAGTGGGTACTGAAACCTATAATGTGTAACTGTGTTGACTTTGTCCACAAAGCTGGATTTTGACAAAATACAGGTTTGCTTCATCTGTTGCTATTAAAATGGTAGTGTAAGATGATGTGGTGTGATGTGATGGGGTTCCTCTACACAGGAGGAATACCTAAGATAATCTTATGAGAGCAAGCTTCATGGTTTCCTTAAGGTTTTCCTTTCCTTTTCAGCATGCACATCAAAATTTTCTCAATGCTTTAAACAGTTGTGAATTGCAAAACATCCTCTTCTTGTTACGGAAATTTTTTTTCCAGTCTCTCATTTCCTGTGGCAGGTACTAAAGCCTCCTCTTTTCTCATCTCAGAGATGCACACATTAGCCCCTGTGCCCCTCAGGACTGTCCTGTACCATACCTTCTGCCTTGAATTTCCTCGTTCAACCTTCAACAGTCTTCCACTCGGCTCCCCTGCTCACTTCTATCTTCTAGCTTTGTCTTACTGCCCCTACCTGCCAAAATTTCCTGCTATCTCCATCTCAGCATGACAATACTACCTTCATTCAAAAATCTCAGATAAAAACATATTTCTGAAGCAATAGGATTAAGACAGAAAACACATCATTAAATAAGTACCTATTCACGTATCAAAGTGAACCTGACGAGGTCCTCTCCACCTCAGCACTGCATAACCTAACACTGATATCAAAGGAAACTGGACCACATCAGCCCAAAACTCTGCCTTGGTTAGTTACAGCTACTGACTCTGCTTCTCTGTTTTTTCCAATAGTTCTGCCTTCCACATCGTTCCTCATTTCATCTGTCTGTGCTTCAGCCACAAGAACTTCAGGCACAGGATTGCTTTTCTTTCTACTGGCTAGCTAAGATTCCTGAAAATGGGCTTCCTATATCCCAGGCAAGTTTCAGCTGGTCTCATTTGCTCTCCTTGAACTGTTCTCTCATACTTTCTTTGTTTTGGTTTTAAATAAAGTTCTTCCCATCTTCCCCTCCCCAAAAACCTTTGTTAAAACAGGCCTATTCCTACAAAAGCTTCTATTTCAAAAAAGTTTCATTACTATTTTGACAAAAAGCCCATTATTAAAACATTTCTGGCCAAATTCCTTGACGAATCAAAGCAATTAAGAAATTATACAAATAACTATTTTGACTAGACTATATTTTCTATCCTTTTAACTATTTGGCTTTGTTTAGAACAGTGCAGTTGCTGACTATCAAAAACTTGATCTTATTATTCTAGTCAACTACATAATTAATGCTTGATGGCACCTTTCGTTACTGTAATGACTAGCATTAACATACTAAACTAGATGAAGCTTTCGGAAACAAGGAAATTTTTTTGCCACACAAAATTCCAAATTAAATCTTAACTTAAAAGGAAAGGGATATATTTTACAAGCAGAATTTACATTTTATGAATATTTAAAAATGAAACATCCTGAGAAAGCTGTCTGGTTATTTGCTACAAGATTTTAGATCATGCTGTAAATCCGATTTAAATATTAAAACCAAAAAAAGTAATATTGCATTTCTATTCTGACAGCTACACAAAACACTTATACATGCATCTTATCAGGTACCCTAAAAACACATAAAGCCTTTCTTTTTGCTAGTTCTACATGTATCATTTGACAGCCAGTACATGGGACAAAGGGAAGAGTACATTTGTCACGTCACATTAATTTTGAATGCAAAAAACCCCTTTTATTTACCTATTTCTTAGGACAGAACCTGACTCCATGTAGTCCTCTAGAACACCTTTCAGTCTTTGCTCTGACTTTTCCAGCTCTTTTATTCTGAGGTTCAAATTCTCTTCTCCAGCACTGTTTACTTGTTCATCAGGTATGCTTGCATCTTCTAATTCCTGGAAAATCCAGGAAGTATCAGTTTTAGCATTGAAATTCAGCATATCAAATCCTTCATTACTGTGCATTTTAATACAGTAACAAAATTCTTGTTCTCTCCCAGATGAAGGATCCATGATGAAAAAATGCCAAATTATTAGGTTCTCAAGGTACTGCAGT